GCAAAAACCCAATTTGGGTTCCCGCCCTCACCATTTTATACTGCAAAATGGAATTCTAAATACCTGTCCCCCTTTTTAACCCCCGGGCCCAAAGAAATGGAATTCTTTGAATTATTCTTTGACCAGCCTTTTATGGGGAAAAAAATTTTCAGGGGAAAATAATAAAAAATTTTTTTTTCGTAAACCATGGCAAATCGATTTACACCCCAGTCAAGACTACACAGGGGGGAAAAAGACGACTGTTTTCAGAAATGTATTTGCTTTTTGCAAAATAATGCTTTTTGCCCAGTCTATAAGCATAAAATAAAAGCTTTTGGTTTCCCCAGATCGGCTAATTTGCCCCATCCTTCCTGAAATTAAAACCATGAACAGGTTTTTCTTACTCTTAAGTATGTTGCCTTCTTGACAAAACCAGGCTGGGCAAAGTGAAAAGGTTTACATGATTTTGAAATGTTTTAAGTTTCCAAACCAAAAATTTTAGGATATAAATTTTTTTCCATTTTAAAAACTTGTAATTGACGAGTTTTGATTTTTTTTCAAAAGGGAGACTGTCATTCCCAAACGTAAAATACCCCAGCAAAGGAAACCCCTTTGGTAAAAATTGTTTTAAATCTGTAAATTTGACAGTGGCCCGGTGTTTGGGTATTGTTGATTCACGGGTAGTAAAAAAATTGAAAGATCCCCAAGGGTGGGTTTTTGGGTTTTATCAGGGGACGTGTGAGAAACATGATGGCACCTTTTTTGGTAAGGGCCAAAACATTAATACCGAAAACGGTACACCCCCCATTTTTCAGTAGATTTCATGCGAGGAAACAAGAAGATGTGTGTGGCACAGTGCTTTTTTAATCGTAAAAAATATCCCCGGCTAACGCAGGTTTTTTGTGGTATGATGTGCAGGGGTTTACTGCCCAAACTCATCTTACCCGGTCCCCCAACCAAAAAGAATGACGGGTTTCCCCAATTCAAACCCTAATAAATCAAACCCCCTTGGAAATTATTGAATGATAAGTAGATTCCAAAAACCATACCTGTTGAATACAAACCCCCGGTTCAAGTGGCAAAGTTTTTTGACGTGCTAAGATTTCTTTTACATTAAACTTTTTTCCCTCTCAGGATATTTCAAAAAAATGCCTTGTTACCAAAAAAACTGGAAAAGCAAATTGTTTTGTTGTTTGTTGTTCAGAAACCAATGGTACCCTAAAACCCTTTTTTTCCATTTTCCCCGACATTTTAAACAACAAAATTTCCCAAAAAACATTTGGAAGAAAAGGGTGAATTTTTTGCTTTTCCAAAATCAAAAGAAATTTTCCCGGAAAATCAACCTTTCAAAAACAAACCCCAACTTCAAACAAAACCAAAAAACCTTTTTTTAGGGAAGAAGGGTTGGATGGTCCTTTTTTAAATTACGCCCCCCTTCAAAAAATTCCAAAAAAGAAAAATTTGTCAAGAAACAAAATTTTCTGTTTTTTAAAAACAAAAGGGAAAAAAAAAGAAAAACTTTTCGGTTATGTGTTAAAATGGGAAATTTCTTTATTCCTTTGGGTTTCGGGCCCCAAGTTAGGGAAAAAAAAAAAAAAGGAAAAATTTTAAAAAAAAATAAATTTTAAAATTTTGTAAGGGGTTTAAATATTTTTACAAATTTGGCATGTTAATTGTAAAAAAACAGTTTAAAATTTTTTTTTTTAATTTAACCCTTTTTGCCCAAAAAATTTTTTAATTTTTGTAAAAGGGAAAAAATAATTTTTTTTTTTTAAAATTTCTTCAGGGCCCCAAAATTTTTTTTGGAATGAAAAAAAATTAAAAAAAAAAAAAAACAACTTTTAAAAAAAAAAATTAATTAAAAGGGGTTTGGGAAATTTTTTTGATGTTTCCCCCAATCTTTCCCCCAAAATTTTCCCCTTACCGGTTTAAGTACTGGTCAGACTAATTTTTTGGGTTTTAACCCCCAAAAAAAAGCCTTTTAAATTTTGGGGGGGAAAAATTAATTTTTTTTTTTTTCAAATTTTTTTGGGGGAAGGGGGGGATTAAAATTTTTTTCCTTACCAAAAAGGGAATTGGCCCCAAAAACAACAAATTTTTTTTAAATTCCATTGGGGGGGTTTAAAGAAAAATTTTAAATTTTGAAAATTTGGGGGTTTTGGAATTTAAATTAAAAAAGTGTTTTTCAAAATTTAGGAAAAAAGTAATTTTCAAATTTTTAGGGGGTTGGAAAAATGAAGTTTTAAAACTTGGGGTTTCGGGTTTGGCCTGGGAAAAAAGGGCCCAGGATCTAGGGAGGGAAAAAAGGGGGTTAATATATTTAAAAAAATTTATGGGGGGTTGTAAAAGAAATAAAAATTTTTTGGTTTTTGGGGGCAAAAGGGGTTTGGGGGGGGTTTCCGGGGGAAGGGGTGGGGTTAAAATTTTGGAAAATTTTTAAAATTTAAAAAAAGGGGATTTAAAAATTTGCCGGGGTGAGATTTTGATGGTTTTGGGAATTTAAAAAAAATTGGCAAAAGGAAAAAATGGGGAACAAAAATTTGGGGAAAGGAAGGGGGAAAAAGGCCTGAAAAGGGGGTTTAAAGGGGTTTTTGGGGGGGGGTTTCCCCAAATGATTTTGGGTAAAGGGGAAAAATTTGATAAACTTTGGGGAGGGGAATTTTTTGGAAGGGGAAAGGGAAATTTTTTTCAATATTGGGGGTTGATTTTGGGGAAAATGGATTTTTTAAAAAGGGAGGTTTATATTGAATTTGGGGGGAAAAAATTTTGGGGGTCCTTTTATGTATATTTTAACAAAAAAGGTATTCAAGGAAGGGAAAAAAGGGAATGGGGGATTTTAAAGTTAATAGTAAAATTTTTTTTTGGGGTTTTTCCTTTTTTTGGGTTTTGGTGAGCGAAGGGGGCGGGGTTTAAAAAAAAAAAAATTTCCCTTCAAAAGGGGGAAAAAAAAGTTTTAAAAAAAAACAAAAATTCCGGGTAAAGGGGGAAAATTGGGAAAGGGGTATTAATAAAATTTTACAGGGGCTTAAGAGGGTTTTATGGGGTTTTTGGTTTAAAATTTAGAAAAAAATGGAAATCAAAAGAAAGAATGGGGGTTAAAATTTTGGGGAAGGAAGGTGGGGTAGGGGTTGTCCTCGAAAAGGTTGGAGTTAGGAGGTTTTGTGGGCGAGGGGCTTGGACTTCCAGCAAGCGCGCATGAGCGTGTTAGATAGGAGTGAATGGAGACAAATGATACTTGGGACCTGACGATCTGTTGGAGTGTGAGCAGGGTAATATTTAGTGAAGGGATTCAGGGAAACCGGTTATTTTCATATAGTCGGACTTGAGTCCTGGAATGGGAAGTACAATGCCTGCACTTTAAAGGAGTGGTTTGGGATATTGGCAGTTTGGAGGGATATGTTGTGTATCTTTATACGTATATGCTTCTAAACTGTTGTATTCTGAGCACCTCTGCAAAAGCAGTGATAATGTGTGAGTGTGGTGAAAGTGTTGAATGATGATGAAAGTATTTTCTTTTTGGGGATTTTCTTTCTTTTTTGGGTCACCCTGCCTCGGTGGGAGACGACCGACTTGTTGAAAAAAAAAAAAAAATCTTCCATTCTATCAAATGAGACCAAAAAACAAGAATACAACCATAAAAACCATACAAAAATACCGCTAAGGGGTGGCTAATTGCTGAGAAGTGAACTCCATTATTTATGCATAGATTTCTTTCATTTTTGGTGTACATTAAGAAGCATCTTTCCATCGTACATTCCCCAAGTTTCAATAAGATAGTCCAACAAACAAATGAGATACAATTCCCAAGATCAAGAGCAAGAGCCCCTCACCAGTGTCAAGGAACCTGTCTCAAGGTCTGCTCGCTTATGGAAATTTTGCTCACGTATGGAAGCAAAAAATCGACCCATCGACTGCTTGTATTTGGAAAAACGAGTACATGGACACGCTCGCAAGTAGAGGTTCCACTGTATATCTAGGTAATACAGGAACAATGGTACAGTAGTTTTTTTTTACCAAGGCAATACAGTACACCCTCTCCTCACTTAGTGATGTACTCGTTTACCGAAGCCTTGGACTTACGATGGACTCTCTACCTTTACCCTTGATATACCTTTGAAGCATTTCAAGAGTTTAACTACTCTCCGAGCCCGGCCATGGGCCAGGCTCGTCTGGTGCTTGCCTGGTCAACCAAGCTGTTGCTGCTGGAGGCCCACTGCTCTACATATCCATCTGGCACCTGGTGAAGATACTTGTCCAGTTTCCTCTTGAAGGCTTCTACATTTGTCCCAGCTGTGTTTCTGACATTTTCTGGTAAGATGTTGAATAGTCTGGGACCCCGGATGTTGACATAGTGTTCCCTTATTGTCCCCACCGCACCCCTGCTCTTCACTGGGTTTACTTTACACTTCCTCCCATATCTCTCATTCCAGTATGTTATGGCAATATGCATATTTGGGACCAGGCCCTTGAGTATTTTCCAGGTATACATTATCATGTATCTCTCTCTCTCTCCTCTGCTCCAATGAGTACATGTTCAAGACTTGAAGGCATTCCCAGTAGTTTAGGTGCTTTATTGGCTCGATGCATCTTACCAGTATTTATAACTAATGTATATTAGAGCTGATTTCCTCTTTAACCCGTAAATGGTCCAAGCAGATCTATGTTCACATGTGTAGTGCTCCAAAAGTAGATCTACGTTTTTTTTACATATTTTCAAATATATAAAAAAAAAGAGAGAAAGATCTACTTTTTTTACATATTTTCAAATGTTGAAAAAACGTATATGTACGTTTGGACCGTTTACGGGTTAAAGATATACCAGAAATGTTATAAATGGTGCAAAGGCGACATTAAAATAATATAAAAAATGGCTGACAAACCCACTACCATTATAGTATGCCTCTCACTTAGCGACGAATTCACTGAATGACGTGGTCTTAGGAACAGAATTCCATTGTTGAGTGAGGAGAGTCTGTATATTACTTTAGGAAAGAATTTTTAAAGTACATGTATACATTTACCTCTCTGCTTGTATGTGGTTGTTGTACAGGGAACCCTGCCAGAGCTTTGTAACATCTTCAGCCTGTTCAGGACTCAACTCTTCCTTAACTTGAACAAACATCATCAGTGTACGACCCTTCTTGCTCATTTTTAGGAGTTCTTCTGGATCTCCAATATTCGAGGGATCAAAATGTAGCTTAGGCTGAGGTCTGAGATGCTCTGGAAGTTCATCCTCTGGCAGTGGCTCTTCCTCTTCCTAAACAAAAATGTTTTGTTAAGCACATTAAAAAAAATTCCCCAGAAAAGAAGTGGGTAATACAGCATGAAGGTGAATACATACTCACTAAATCATAGGAAAATTTTCTAAACAATACAGGATTCTGCTGTTTCCTTAAAATAGATCCCAACCTCAAAGCTGAAATGAAGGTGTGGGACAAATTATACTAGCATTCATAAGCTATATAAATTTAAGCAGGGTTCCATAATGCAGACATATTACAGAATAATTTGCCCCCCCCCCTCAAGCAATATAAATTTCTGTACTGTCATGGATTCTCATTTAGGGCTTAAGAGAGTAAATGGCAGCTCATGACTGCTTGCACTTGAAGGACTAGCTCAATCCTGACAAGAGTGAAGACATGGGAGGCATTGCCTTTTTATCTGTTGCCCCTGTTCATCTAGTAGTACGCAGTTACCTGGGTATTAGACTAGTGGGGGATGCATCCCTGGGAGGGAGGGAGGTAAAATACATTAAGATAGGTCTGGGCTTTGAAAAATAGTAGTGGTAAGATAACCATGTCCCATGGCTTGGTTGGCAACTCTCTCACCTCTCACAGTGTCCATGGTTCGATACCCAACATGTGGAAATGTTGGGCATGTTTCCTTACACTTGCTGTCTTTGTTCACCTAACAGTAAGTAGGTACCTGGGTGTTAGTCGACTTGTGTGGGTCACATTTTGGGGACAAGACTGAAGGACGACAACAGAAAGAAGACAGTCCTCTATAACACACTGACTTTCTTGGTTTATCCTGAGTGGATAACCCTCCGGGTCAAAAATCCAAACAAATGTCGTCTTATCTTAACAGCTCTTAGTATGCAAATTACACTAACATATGAAAATTAAATCCAAGAAGGACATGCTAATAAATTAACAATGAAGCCACCATCATATATACCAAAATAAACCAATAAATCAAACAAAAAAAAGCAAACAAGCACACAAAAAAAAATATGATTACACTAAGATAAGAGATAAACATCTTAAGACTCTTATAACTACAAAATGAACATCCTGCCTCTGCAAGGTATTACACTTCAGGAAGCCAGGGCTACTAGAATGCAAGTCATACAGTACTATTGCATGTTGTACAACCAATTTTTGGGAGAATGATTTACAGACGTCTGGAACATAGCACTTACTGTATATTACAGTCTTCAGTTTTTACATAACAGATTGTTAGTAGACAGTGGTACACTGAGTTACAATAATTTTTTGTTATGATATACCCTCAAAAGAATTTAGTTTTGAATTGCCATATGATGTGTGTACTATGGTTGGCACGTGTGAGTGGGTCTCAACCAATCAGAGATGCAGCAGCTTGCCTCTTGGGCAGCATCTGAGCCAATAGGAGCATCTGTGGCGGTGTTCCTTAGCCAATCAACAATGAGAATGAATGTCTTTATGATAGCATCTCAACCAATGGAAGTTGTATAAGGTAACTTCAGTTTGAAGTTACCTTATACAACTGCATTTGAGTTAACTGTGTGTTACCAAATCATCATGGCCCCTATCGTGTAGAAAACAGGATATTTCTCTGAAGATCAAGCAAAAAAATTGTGAAAAAACATGGAGTTAGAATTAGTGTATTGGTGCACTAGGGTGGTTTTCTACAATTAACACTTGTTTGCGATGATAAGTGTTGACGAGCTGCCTAATAACACCGATCATTGTACAGTTATGACCCATTATGAAGTAAAAAGAAATTAAAGAATATTACAGTGGCTGACAGAATTCAGTTGTTTACTCATTGGGAAGGCATGAAAAAATCAAAGCACCTGGACACTGAAAAAACAGAACACAACTTTCCCAGTTTTTGAAGATAACATTTCATCTTATTTTAAAAGCTTCAGAAGAAAGCGACAGAAATAAGCAACTCTGGACAAGTTTTCCAGGTGGTAATTGTTAGGAGCTTCTCCTTTTAACCAGTTACCTCTTCTCCACCCTCTCCCCCACCACCACACTATCAACTCTTCAAGTCCAAGGTACAGTAAAAGTTGCATTTCTGAGGTCTTGGAATGAATTACTATAAAACCATGTATTTTGGTGTTTGAATTACAATAGTTCTGAGGTACAATAAGTCCTCTGGAACAAATTAATATTGTAACTCAAGGGACCACTGTATAGGTTTTCAGTAATACAACTACTGCACTGCACAATAAATTATGTAGTTATTAGACATTACTTTCAATGATGTATTTTGGGATAACTTAGAAAGTAGGCTTTGAGATTTGAATAATAATGACCTGAGTGATAACTCAGCAATCGTGGCAATAAAAAGTAAATACAGTGGTCCCCCGCTTTTCGTAGTTCCCAGCAATCGTAAAATTCGCCAGTCATAGGGGTATTTTCGTATAAACATGGACTCGTTTTTCATAGGTTGACTCGCGAGTCGTAGTTCGTCCGGGACGCGTACGCACGGCATGGGCCAGGGCGGCAGCCAGTCTGGCATTGTTTACCAGTGAGCCAAGGTCCCTTCGCGTGCTCCAGTGAAATATTTCATAATATTCCATTTATTTTAGTGCTTGCAAGTACTAAATAAGCTACCATGGCTCCAAAGAAAGCTCCTAGTGCCAAGCCTGTGGTAAAGGTGAGAAATACGATTGAATTTAAGAAAACCATCATTGAACAATATGAAAGTGGTACAAGTGTGGCCGAACTGTCCAGGATGTATAAGAAACCCAACACAACCTTATGCTCCATAGTGGCCAAGAAAAATTAAATAAAGGATGCTGTTGTTGCAAAGGGAGTAACTATGCTGACAAAAATGAGATCACCAGTACTGGAAGAGGTTGAGAAGTTATTATTGGTGTGGATACATGAGAAACAATTAGCAGGAGATACTCTTATGACTTTGTTTATTTGTGAAAAGGCTAGGCAGTTGCGTGAAGATTTGGTGAAGAAATTGCCTGCAAATAGTGGTGAAGTGAGTGAATTTATGGCCAGCAAAGGCTGGATCTCAAGTGCGTGCTAGTAATGGACAATGCACCTGCTCATCCTCCAAACTTGGATGACCTAATTTTCGAGGAGTTTGGGTTCATCACAGTAAAGTTCTTGCCCCCGAATACCACCCCTCTCCTCCAACCCATGGACCAGCAGGTTATTGCAAACTTTAAAAAACTCTACACAAAAGCAATGTTTCACAGGTGCTTGACTGTGACCACAGACACTCACTTGACCCTAAGGGAATTTTGGAGAGAACACTTCAGCATCCTCCACTGCATAACCCTTATAGTATGGCTTGGGAGAGAGTGACTACAGGACTTTGACACTGCCTGGAGAAAATTGTGGCCAATTGTGTCGACAAGAGGGATTTTGAAGGATTTGGGACTGACCCTAATGAACCTATGTCTGTTGTAAAATCAATTGTGGCACTGGGGAGTTCCATGGGGTTGGATGTGAGTTTGGAGGATGTGGAAGAATTGGTGGAAGACCACAATGAAGAGCTCACCACTGAGGAGCTGCAAGAGCTTCAGCAGGAAGAGTAACACATCGCAGCTCAGAATCTTGCTGCAGAGGAGGAGGAAGAGGGATGGAAGAAGGTGCCTTCTTCAGAAATTAAAGAGACTTTTACTATATGGGGTAAGATGGAAAGCTTTATGGAGAAACATCACCCTAACAAGGTTGTTGCAAGCCAGGTTGGCAACATGTACAGTGACAAAGTCTTGGGCCATTTTAGGGAAATGTTAAAGAGACACCAGAAACAGAGCTCTCTCCACAGTTATTTTGTGAGACAGGACTCCAGTGACTCTCAAGGTGGTCCTAGTGGCATTAAGAAACAGAGAAGAGAAGCAACCCCAGAAAAGCAAATGGTACCTGAGGTGTTGATGGAAGGGGATTCCCCTTCCAAACTATAAACAATCCACTCTCTCTCCTCCTCCAGTCTCCCATACACTAAGAAGAATCTCCAATAAAGGTAAGTGTTATGCTGTTAATGTTTCATTCATCATTTCCCATTGTATTGTTTATGTACTACATGTACATTTCATGTTAAAAAGTTTTTTGTTTTAATACTTCTGGGTGTCAGGAACGGATTAATTGTATTTACATTATTTCTTATGGGGAAAATTGATTCGTAAATCGTAAATTTCGTTTATAGTAACAGCTCCAGGAACGGATTAATTACGAACAACGAGGGACCACTGTATAACAAAGAACATCCAAGTTAAATTCAGCAAAAAAAAAACAAATAGCATGAATAATACAAAATAAAAATAGTCGCACCAAGTTAAAATACTACCTTCAGTTAAAAATTAAATCTTTGGTATGGCCTCTTATATTATGCTGCTTGGCTCTGGTCTCCATATTATAAAATAAACATAAATGCACTGGAAAATTTACAGAAAAGAATGAAGTTTTTCAACTGCATCAAAAACTTTTCCTATGAAGATAAGCTGAGGGCACTGAATTTGCATTCTGGAAAGACATAGGATTAGTGTAGATATGAGTGTAGTGAGCACATGGAAAACAGGAATGAAGAGGGGTTATAATTAATATGAAGAGAATATCAAACCAAGACAGGATTTGAAGAAATGGATTTAAGTTGGACAAACTTAAATTTAGAAAGGTTATTATAAAGTACTAATGGGAAAGTTTTAACCCTTCCAGGATTTCCGATGTACTTGTATGTCTTACACAGGGTTATTGACATACTAGTACGCGTAAATTCTAGTGCCTTCAAATCTAGCGAGAGAAAGCTGGTAGGCCTACATATGGAAGAATGGGTCTATGTGGTCAGTGTGCAGTGCATAATGAGAAAAAAAACTGACCATGTTTTTGGTTTAAAACAGCGAATTTGCAGTGTATTTTCGTATGGTATTTATGGTTGTATTCTAGTTTTCCTGGTCACATTTTATAGAATGGAAGACATTACAGAAATTGAGATGATTTTGATTGGTTTCACAATGAAAAGTACCTTGAAACTGAGCTCAAAGTAGCAGAAATGTCTGATTGTTGCCAAAGTTCAAAAGTAAACAAATCATGCCACGTGTTCAATACACGTCAATTGGCGAGTCTAATATTATTTCACAAGTGTGCTGATATTATTTATCATTTCTACACTAATGCAGTAGTCTGCATAACAGTAAATCTTCTATTTTTTGTGAAAATAAAAATTCAAAGTGGAAAGCAAAAGAAATGTAAGAGGGGCCTGGGGATGTGACTAATGAACAGAGGAAATGTTATTTTAGTGCCAGGAATGTCTGTCTTGTTTATTCTGGACAATATTTGGAAATTGGCATCTTTTGAAATTTGTGTGAAATTGGCAAAATTGCCAATTACTGACCACTTTATTGGATAGTTGAAATCAGTAAATGAGTAGTTTCTTGTACTCATTCGATAGAAAAAATGGAGTTCTAGTGAAATAGTTACGATTTATGTCGACTAATACACTGGAATTGGCCGAAAATAGGGCTCAATGTGGGCGAAATCGCTGTCGTGTAAACATCGTCGAGACCGCTAACTTCGCGAGAGCACAATTCCATAAATTTTCCATCAAATTTCATACCTTTGGTATCATTATGATCAGGAAAAGATTCTCTATCATTTCATAAGAAAAAAATAACTTTTTTTTCCGAAAAATTTTCGACCCTGAGAACAAGTTTAGGAGAGGGCCTCTCGACCCTGAAAGGGTTAAATGCTCAGGTAGCATCATGGATAAAACCTCTGGGTAGCTTTCGATGTGGTTTAAATGGGTACATTAGTGGGTGTAGCTGGGTGGGAACCTGTAGTTTGGTGGGTGGACCTGCTGAACATGGGTCAAAGGGTCTACTGCAGTGCTTCACTATTATGTTCTTAACTTAAAAAATCTATGGAAATCCTATAGACACGAGTCACTTCATCTGTACATGAATGGTACACAATACCAATAAGATAAAAAAAATTTACACACTTGTAACATCTGGGTATCTTTACTGTAGACGATTCACCATCGAGTGGCTTTATCAATACAAATTCGATAACATAACTGGAAGACAGTAGAGCTATATACAAAAGATGAGGTACTCAGTACCTCAACCTTGGAGTTGGTGCTCTTCAACTCCAAGGCTATGTGACTGATTGCCTCATCTTGTATATATAGTTCTGTTTTCCAAATATGTTGAATTTGTATTGATGAAGCCAGTGGATGGTACAACGTCTACCCAGACGTTGTACCATCTAAGATACCCAGACTCTCAGGTTATCCTAGGTAATTTACACATGCTACTATGCATGATAATTTAACTGTACTTGTGTCTACCTGTACCTAAATAAACTTGCTTACAAAAACAATTTTGGCCACTCATATTTCACAACAGTGAAAAACCCACTAAAGACATATTACTGTGGCTGTATGAGGCATAAGCAAACATGACCACTACCCCATATAACTTACGTACTATCGTCAAAGATTAAAAAAAATTAATTTGGCATTAATTTCTATCATACCAATATGTATATACAATAATTGTACCATACAACACCTTCGGAAAGTAAGGCAGGTAAGGTTGATCACAAGTGATCATCAACATGACCTTGAAGGTCAACAGGATTTGAAAATTCGATGCCAAGAACATGTAGTTTTACCTCCCACTGATCCAGTAACCTCTCCAAGTCGGCATCATTGTAATCCCTGATGTCCTTTTTAGCCCATGCAGGCTTCTCCTCCTCTTGAAACTTCTTGCAAGAGTTAGGAAAGTAGAGGAAGATCAGCAGGAAGACCAACGTGACGCCCCACCGAGCCTCCATCACTGTTTGTTTACATCATCATGGAGTCATCCACGATTATAATTTCTAAGGTAAATATTTACCGACTTAAAACTTTTTTTTATACCAATTATATAGCATTAATGTAATTTTTTATTTAAAAATAAATATTTAAATAATGTATAAGATATAAATTCTTGAAAATAGGGGCTTATAAAAAATATAATGTACAACAATGCAAGCAACCATATGACCTGTCTTTGTAATACTCACTTGTGCTTTATAGTAATCTGTTTACATTAATGTTTTATCACTGATTTCATCATTGCTTAGTTAATCTTAAGTTAATTTTAAGCCAGCCCGTAATGCTATGCATAGTATAAGTGGCTTTGGCATACTGCTCTTATCTGTATTTTTTTGTACCTCTGTATGTGTGCTCAAATTGGAAATAAATAAATAAATAAATAATCTTTATTTCTACAAGAACATATACAAGTTCTAGCTGACATTATTGACATACTACTGTATAGAAAGCTGCTTGTTATGCTGAGCATTTCCGGCAAATTACGTTAATTTTGTCCTAGGATGCGACCCATATCAGTCCACTAACACCCAGGTATCCATTTTACTGATAGGTGAACATTAGGGTTATAACTTTTTTACAGCGTAATATTACTGTACCTTAATTAGATGTATTTTTGTCTAAAAGCAAAGAAATGACCTTTCATTTCAATATCTTTTTAGAAAATGTCACCCCTAAATAAAAAAAAAAAAGAGTAACGAAAAAAATTAACTTGAATGCATATTGCATGTAATATTAATAACAAATAGAACAGTTTACAGCATCATTACTACTTATTGCTTAGAATAAACCAAACCTGCAGTTTTTGTTTCTGCAGCAACATACAGTTCCTGCATAACTATGACTGCGCATTCAACACACTGATTACTTCGTAACATATTGAGTGCAGACGGCTCCTGCTTCCAGCGATTTTTCAATTAATTCAGTTTTTTTTTTTTTTTAAGGTTTCAACATTTTTGACAAATTCTTGAAGTCATTTTCATTGTACATCTGTCCAGGTGTATGAAATAAATTAACATTGCTGTTTGGAATTTTCTGAAAGTTAATCAAAGGAATATATAATATATAATAGCCAAATTCAAATCCAAATACCTACAAAAACCTCTCACATTGATAAACATTTACAGAGTTCCACAGTCAAACATTAGCCAATTTAGTCAAAACCTAGGAAGTATGATAACTGATGCACGCATGAACAAAGATCACTTACTACTCTCAGGTGACTTCAATATAAATCTCCTGCAAGACCAGGACCCACACGTTACTGAATTCACAAACACAATGAGTAACTGTATGTTGCTACCAACAGTAACAAAACCTACAAGAGTTACAGAGACTAGTGTTTCCCTACTTGACCACATCTGGACCAACACCATATCCCCTTTAAAATCAGGCATAATTACAGATAATACCACAGACCACTACCCTACTTTTCTCATAACAACTCTTGGTAAATTACCCCAAGACACTACTAAAGTCACCTTCAGACTTCACAATGAGGCAGCCATTAATAACTTCACAACAGCAGTAGCAAACATTGACTGGCACACTGAGCTAGAAATCTATACAGATATTGACGAATGTTTTAAATAATTTTCTAAAAAAGACCCAATACCTCTATAACAAGCACTGCCCAAAAAAACTAAACAGATGACAGCTAAGAGACTGAACAGTCCCTGGTTAACACCCAGCATTCTCAAATCCAAAATACAAAACACCAATATGAAAAACAGTACAGAAATGGGTCACATAACCAGAGACCAAACAAAACGTTACTCGTCAATCCTAACCAGCCTGATAAGAAGGGCAAAAAAATTGTATTATGAGAACAGATTATCCAACTTACGAGGTGATATAAAAAAGACCTGGAAAACCCTATCAGAAATTCTAGGAACAAAAAAGATATCACGAAATAGCGAAATAAAATTAGCAAAATCAGATGAACCCCAACTCCCACCAACAGAAACAGCAAACAGACTCAATGACTTTTTTCTCCACTATAGGACAAAACCTTGCCAATAAAATCCCAAGCTCAGATACCCCACCAAATGACTACCTCACTGGCAACTACCCGAACACACTGTTCCTAGCTCCGACTAAGCCATACGAAGTCTCCCTTATTATCAACACGCTAAAAAACAAGGCAGGAGATTTAAATACCTACCACCCTTTATATACAAAAAGTGTCACAAGTGCTATCACCAATCATTGCAACACTCTTTAACAAATCCATTGAATCCTCCACCTTCCCTACAGTACTCAAAATAGCAAGGGTCACCCCGATCCACAAAGGAGGAGACCAAACAGAGTTGAATAACTATAGGCCAATATCCAACTTACACCCTCTCTCAAAAATCTTCGAAAAATTAATTCATAAACTAATCTACTCCTACCTTATCTCCCAAAACATACTCAACCCCTGCCAATTTGGATTCAGGCCAAATAAAAATACTAATGATGCTATTATACACATGCTAGAACATATATACACTGCAATAGAAAAAAAGAAGTCCCACTGGGGATCTTCATTGACTTACGTAAAGCTTTTGATACAGTTAACCATGACTTGCTCCACGTAAAATTGTCACACTATGGTATAAGAGGGCACTCCCTCAACTACCTCAAGTCATACCTCAGCAACAGAAGCCAATATGTGTATGCAAATGGGGCAAACTCTTCTGCACAACCAATTACAGTTGGTGTCCCACAGGGAAGTGTCCTTGGCCCTCTTCTCTTTCTCCTATACATAAATGACCTACCAAATGCTTCGCAATTACTCAAACCCACACTATTTGCAGATGACACTACATACGTCTTCTCCCACACGAGCCCAGTCACGCTAGCCAATACTATAAATACCGAATTACAGAAAATATCTACCTGGATGAGGACTAACAACTTACACTAAACATTGACAAAACCTACTTCATTCAGTTTGGTAACAGAGCTACAGATGTCCCTCTTAACATAATGATAAACGGATCACCTATCACAAAGCTAACAGAGGGAAAATTCTTAGGAATCCACCTTGATAATAGACTCAAATTTCATACACATATACAACAAATTTCTAAGAAAATTTCCAAGACTGTAGGCATACTATCGAAGATACGGTACTATGCTCCACAGTCAGCCCTCCTGGCCCTATATCACTCTCTTATTTACCCCTATCTCACCTATGGAATTTGTGCATGGGGCTCAACAACAAGTAACCATCTCAGACCACTAATTACCCAACAAAAGGCTGCAGTTAGAATAACAAATTCTCACTATAGGCAGCACACTCCACCAATATTCAATACACTAAACCTATTCACCATACAAAACATTCATACTTATTACTGCACCTATTACATACATAGAACACTTAACTCTGATATTAACCCTCCCCTCAAACATCTCCTTGCCAACCTCAACAGAACACATGACCATAACACAAGGCACAGATCACTCTTTGATGTTCCTCGTGTCCATCTCACACTATGCAAAAACTCAATGCACATAAAAGGCCTAAAATCTGGAACTCATTACCTGTAAATATAAAAGAAACACTACCTGTTTATAAATTCAAGTCTCTTCTCAAAGATCACTTACTCACCCAAAACCAAATAAATACTGAATAACTGAACCTTATAAATTGTATATCTTAAATGTTTCTCACAATTATATCACATAAATGTTAAACCTAAAACCCAATCTAACTTTATTATTTTTTAAATACACTACCTAACAGAATACTCCATTCTACTGAATGTACAACAATGCATACAACCATATGACCTGTCTTTGTAATACTCACTTGTGCTTTATAGTAATCTGTTTACATTAAAGTTTTATCACTGATGTCATCATTGCTTAGTTCATCTTAAGTTAATTTTAAGCCAGCCCGTAATGCTATGCATAGTATAAGTGGCTTTGGCATGCTGCTCTTATCTGTATTTTTTGTACCTCTGTATGTGTGCACAAATTTTTAAATAAATAAATAAATAAAGTGCCCTTTTTCTTCAAATTATTATTATTATTATAATCAAGGGGGAAGCGCTAAACCCGGAGGATTATACAGAGCCTGGGGGGGGGGATGTGGAAGGCATTCAGGCTTAATTCGGGGAACTGGAGCACAGATCCAATTCCCTAAATCAAGAGCCCCTCACCAACATCAAGGAACCTTCCTTGAGGGGTTTTTCTTCAAAGAATCTAAATACTCGTGTAAGATGGTACAAAAACTTCATCTCTCTCCATCCTGATTTATGGTGGATATCTTCTGTTCCATTAACAAATTGTACCTTTAGTTCCTCATAATTCTTCACCAGTTGGGATACAAATGGATACTCGATGTTTGGATATTCTCCATTTTTCTTATAGTGAAGTTTCTCCTAAAGTCACAATTCCTCTTCTTGTATGAGACTTCTGGACTCCCACCAAATTATTGGTCCAGATCTTTCTTCTTCTTTATGGTAGTGTCACTCTTCTTGTGTCACATTATAATTCTGAATTTCTGACACATATAACTGCAATAAATCGATTTGTTTGCTCATAAAGCTTCTTATACCTGGAGAGAGTTCCGAGGGTCAACGCCCCCGCGGCCCGGTCTGTGACCAGGCCTCCTGGTGGATCAGAGCCTGATCAACCAGGCTGTTTCTGCTGGCTGCACGCAAACCAACGTACGATCCACAGCCCGGCTGATCAGGAACTGACTTTAGGTGCTTGTCCAGTGCCAGCTTGAAGACTGCCAGGGGTCTGTTCGTAATCCCCCTTATGTGTGCTGGGAGGCAGCTGAACAGTCTCGGGCCCCTGACACTTATTGTATGGTCTCTTAACGTGCTAGTGACACCCCTGCTTTTCATTGGGGGGATGGTGCATCGTCTGCCAAGTCTTTATAGCACAGTCTTTCCTGTACTGAAGAGGTACACAGTTCAGGGTGAAAAAGCTTACAGGAAGGGAGTTGGCATTTTCCTGTTGTCATATGGGCATGGCATTTTCTAGGGTGGTCA